TGAACCTAGCTTCTTTAAACACACTAATTCGTCTGTGTAGACGTTAGAAAATGTATGCTTTGTTAACCGAAATCCATAAAATTCGAATAGTAAGTTTCCAGGGCTGCTGGCTATCACACATCTTGTCCGAATCTTAGCGAACTATACATTTCAGCGTTGCCTTAACAACTTATTATTCTGTAGTTTTTAAATTTCATAACATTTCACAAAGTTCCGTCAACATTATGTTCTACATGAACCTAAATTGAACAAGTGCCAACAACTAGTCTCATTGGCGTACGCATTTAACTTTAGCGAGGATACTACTCCAAAGAAGTAGCGCAAGCCTGATGCGCATGTGCAATCTGCCCATATCCGTTCTAATTATCGTACGCATGAAAGTGGAAAAAGCGTCAACTGTTGCATGAGCGCTAGAAAGAACGATGTGAGCAAGATTTTGCACACAACAATTGAGAACACGTATGCCTAGAAATGGCAAAGTGATAGATAATTAAATGGCCAATTATAATGAAACATATGGCCTGAACTGACTGAATCAATGACGTGAACTTTTCACTGATCTAATTTACAAGCGGAAGATGGTCAAAACTAATGAAGTTTACCAGTGGCGTTGTAAGACAACCAGCAGTCTTACAATAATGAGTTAGAATTTGCTGAGGCTAATACTTCTTTCTCCATGGATTCCTCATTTTGGAATAGACTAATTTCTTCGAAATGCTGCCGGCGATACACACGATCAAACAGCACCCCAAGTAAGCCATCTAATCTATCAGTATTTTCTTCAACCACGTTTTCCCCACTCAATTGATCTGCGTTTTATTTCGGACTTAATTATGTGCCCGTAGATTTCTTTTCCTCAGACTAGTTCTACGATGACGCATCATCAACTGAGAAACGCTGGTATACTTATTAAATTCTAGACCACCGTACTTAATTGTTGATTTTATCGTAAGGTTTATGTACCTGTCTCACAAATATAACTTCCCGGACCATCCATCTGTGGTTTCGGGTCGATACCCTCGCTCAAAGCCAACTCCGATCAATCCCCAAAACCTACATGTTTTTGAAATGCCACCAAATTTACCGTTTAAGTCAGTTTTCAACACCAGAAACCGTAATTAACCAAAAGTTTCGGAAGCTGAGAACATTACAGTTGACATTTGCGTTTTGGCATGAACAACACTGCTTTTAATCAGCCAAGATTATTCTGACAGCTTTTTAACATCCACCGTTATTGCCATCTGAATGTTCGCCCTGGACCTGATTGAATCGGCTATGAATATTATCACAAAATAAACTGCAGAATGTCAGTGGCCAGCCGAGCTAGATTAGACCGGAATACTGCTCTTTGCCACAGCAGTTCATTTTACCGTAGGGCAGCCTAGGCCAGCATCCACTTCTCACCTACATTTTACGAGCAACCCACAACTTGTTGGGTTACTCATTTAGCCATACAATGGTTTCATACTAGCCGGTGATAACACTCACGTCAATTCATTGTGAATCTCAGTCAACAAGCCCATACTGGCTGTCGAAGCGCACTCTGAATTGGGTCTTTGGTCTACTAGATAAAAAAAACACAAGCAAAACGTTGATATTCAAACCCTTCTGGTTACTTTCATCAGAAGTCCGTTTGAATAGTTCATTGTCCCGGACTTGCTTTTACAGTTGCTTCTGCAGTTAAAATTGGTACCCGCTTGTGACATTTGCCGGATCAAAAGAAGAGAAGGGGAAACAACTTGCGCGCTGTTCTAACCAGACGAGGTTTCAATCCATTTTATTCTTACTGATTTACTCAGACTCGCAAGATTATGAATGCCATTTTTCTAACGGGCCGAAATTTAGAAGTTGGGCTCAATAGGCAAGACAATAATTAAACAAATTCCTTGGCAGGGTGGCGGAGAAAGGAAAGCTAAGCTATATCTTATATTCGATCCCTGGTTTTCTTACTGGAATACTAATCACAACAGAAGTGTCTGCTCCAATTTTCTATGATCGAGCAATTTCGTGTCAGTTGGTCAATAACGGTATGACTTTGAATATTTATTTGAACATTGTTGCCTTTAAATGACACACTGCTTTTTAGAGCAGAGGTAGGCTAATTTTGCTTTCGCATCACAGCGCTGTGAAGTTTATAGGCCCACCCGAACATGATAACGCAGTATCGAAGATAAAACATTTGTTACCTGATTTCCCATCGACGTCACCAACACATGTCTACCTTGAAACCAAATGACGTGTACTTGGCCTCGTCACATTTTACCACTTAAGACTAATTCGGTAGGCCCGGTTATTCAAATCTGCTCGGTCTCATTTTATGCTTCAAGAAAAATCTGGAAGTATGTGTAAATGGAAAAAATCATTTGAGCCCCCATTTGACAACTTGTGGATTCGCAACTGTGCTCTATGCTCCAAATATATCGCCTTTGAAACACTGAGTGATTGTGACTCGGTGCTGACGAATACCGCTTAGTTAGACAGGATTTTCAGCATCTTTTGAATCCGTAAACGTAATTGGCCAAATGACGAGCGTCCAAAAGAGAAACTTTCCTGACCCGGTTTTAATATCCCCTGGTAGCTGTCTTCCTCCGCCCGCACGATGTACAGGTTTGCTTTTTTAACTAAATAGATAGCAAGAATTTTTTTCACCCACTAATTTTGCCCAAAGCGAAGCGTATGGGTTTTAATTTTTTATAGACAGAAAGAGCTGCATATCAAGCTCACTTGACCCCCCTGAACGTTACACTGTTCCACAATTTACGATACCTTTTGAATAGTACTTTTACCAAAGATCAGTTTCACTGGGTCGGTCCATTGAGTGAAGTGGGGTGGACAAATTATCACGTTAACCAGCAAGTCAACAGTTTGGCGTTCACCTCACAGTTTTGTACCAACCAAATAGAAAGCAAAAATGAACAAGTGCATCCCACAATATCTCACTGACTTACAGTCTATTTCTGTCAGCAGAATTGCATGATATTATGTTAGTTCATCAGCTATACCCAGAAATGCAAAGACACTTAGGCGTAAAGCACACCAAAAGATTGTAACGTGAGCTATAGCGATGACATATGATTCAGGTTTCGTTAACGCCGTTTCTTAAATGGGGTCACTTAACGAATAATCCACACACCTGGCTCTTCCCAAGAGAAAAGACAAAACGTCTGAAGAGACTGAAGAAATTGAGGTTCAGTCGAAATTATAGAATGAGGCGGATTTGTTCGATAAATTCACAGAGATTAAGTCGGTACAATCTAGACTTTGCGCTAATAATCTTTGGTAAAAAATGTAAATATCAGTCGCAAAACATCCTAGCAAACCGAAAAAGTTAAACAGCTTTGCGTTTCCTACGGAATAAAACAGCTTTTAGGAAATTTTCCGTTCTCCTCATAAAATGGAGGGCTTGGGGTTCTCTGTCCATTTCTACTGGCCATACGGTAGGCCCCAGGAGCATACACAGAGACCAAAAAATCATTTGACCATGTAACATGCACAGAACTCAGATATTATAACCCTTTTTTAAGAGTTCTCAACTCAAAGAGATACAATCTCCATATGCTGAGCTTAAATTTCATTATGAACTACTGACAATGAACATCTCTCATTTTCGCTTCTCAGGTTTCAGTACAACGTGGCAACTCCTTTGTGTAGTACATTTTCTTTTTATGGAGAAAAATGTTGGCAGCTCAGGCATGGTAGATGGTTGTTGGCTTATTCGCTGGGCTGGGCACTTTTATTGCAATCGTTTCATCACCAATCGAGGCGAAATCATCAGTGCGTTACTGGGGAGCGTAGTGGTGCGTAGCGGAGGGTTAATGGTCGTACAATCAAATCAAACAATCTAGTACATGGTCTGTCCGTCAATGCTCTTTATTTATGCAAGAGATGCAGCTGGAACTCAAATGAATTTTAAATCAAACCGCAGAAGAGTTGTCTAGCCACTGATTAAATTTCGCCCCCTTTTACCAGCAGTAAATTGTTATAAAGGAGTTGCTAGATATCTAGGACTGTTTTGACATAGGTAGGACTGTTTATGAAATAGGTATCGGATGAAAACTAGAACATTTTAAACATGGATCAACTGTATGCTTTTCAGTGACGGGTTTGCAACGGCATATAACATCGGTTAAGTGTACTGCAGTCAGTCTGAACCATGGTGTCCAAAAAGGGTGAGTTAAATTGCAACCGATTTTATTCTCCATCTTGGAGCATATATTTTGTTTATGAAGCACTCAACAGCAACTTATTTAGCGACGTTAGTGTACACCCAAAAACATTAATGCTATTGTAATAGCTTATATTCATGCACTCTCGGTCTAAAAGAAATCCCCATGAAACAGACATTGATACAATTTATTTTTCAGGATCAAGCAGAAAGTAGTATAACCGCTTTGGCGCAGCTATTCCACAATTTTGTAGTTTTGCGTGCTAACTACCATCTCGAGCAGTTCAACTAACAAATATTCTTGTCAGACCGTACCGCAGCACTGATAAGTCCCGCATGCATTGATTTGACGTACCGATCGGTATTTGTGCACGTGGTGAAACTTCATGTTTGGAAACATAAAAAGCGGAAACATGAAAGTTGAGAGTGAACGGAAAATTAGTTATTCGTGTTACAACTATTTACGGTTGGTTGATTACTTGTTCCTGATAATTTTGCCCACTTCGTTACTCTTGATAGACTTGAAATGGGTGATACACATATCAACATTGTCATGTTTTGGTCATAGGGAGATTACTGTCAGCATACGTCTCACTAAAATGTGTGCCAAATTAGTGAGTAATGTAGAATTCATTGTAAGTGAAAAAGTTTGTCAGACGCTTATTAAATTTGTCAATTAATCAAACAAATGAACCGTTTTTTGAAAGACAAGCTAACATTTGGGTTCATACACCTTTTTGACCCATAGCTAAAGCGCAACACGGAGAAAGCACAGGAAGTGAAATGGCTAGGCCTGGACAGTAATGAGTGAAATCTCAGGTTTCGTTTGGAACTGTAAGTTTTACAACTCGTAACTACGTGTCAGTTGTATACAGATGACGTCCAACGAAGTTTCATGTTGGAAACACTGTCGATAAAGTGACGTGACATCCCCAGGGACCAATTTGTTCCGGAATCAATCAATAATTATACATAGCTGTTTTTGTTGCAACCAGTTTTGCAAATGTAGTGGTAGTTCAGTTTTCGAGAAGATTCTGTTATTCAAAGGAAAGAAGTGCTTTCACCACTGTTTGGCATTCTTGAGCATCGGAGATCATACAGATTTTCTCGCAACTTCAGGAATTGCTCAGTTTAGTAGATATCAGAGTCTTGTTAGTGCGTCCATCAGATTATCTTGCGGAGACCACATAATAAGTAAATTCCAATTCAATCAGTCCAAGTGTCACAATTCAGCAACAACAGTAAAGAAACCTAGCCTCCGAATACACGGCTATCACAGGAATCCAAATAACTATACCTCCTGACAAAAAAATGTGAATGGCAACTTGCCTATTGGCACCAAGTATCCAAATGCTTCCTCCAATTTGTCCCCTGAAAATTTTGAATGTGGAAACCGCAATTTTGCATGAAACCGCTTTGCGGTAGTTTGGTTGAAAGACACCGTAATCTCAGTTAATTGTATTTCTCCTGATTGCGTAGCTGTACAAATCAGCTGCATGGTTTATTAATTCTGTACTATTCCCTAAAGAATAATAACTATTCACAGCAAACTATTTCATGAAACACCATAAATTTTTCACCGGGTAACTCACAGTTTTTTGCACATGTTGATAAGTTTCGCGAAAGCAAAACTACTATGCCGATTAGAAATATGAACACCAAATTCTTCATTTGGTTCGAGACAATGCAGATCACTATGGAACCCGCCTCGCGTTTAGTGGGTTTTAACGTCCACTTTTCCACCAATGGGCAACAGATAAAGGATGGGTAGATCATAAAAGCTCAACGCTGATTGGACTATTGGCTTCACGTCGAATGAAGCAATTTGCTTGGGAGACAGCCGTTCCATACGATTCGAGACAACAATAATTTGAACCAATCCCAGCATTACAAGCTAGAGCCATAGTTACCTTTATCAGATCGCCAGAGCCAGGACGAGCGAGCAGGCTGAAGCTGGCTGAGGAGATAAGTAATGTAGACAAACCCAGACATTAGAAACACGGATAAAAACCAAATCGATTCGCAAATGAGTGTATTTCTCGAAAACAGTCTAATTTGAGTTCAAGTAGAACATAAGGTTGAGGGAAGCTCGGGGACTGCGCCTACCTGATGAACCCTAAGAAGGGCGAAACCGGTCGTGGGCTGTCGAAGGGTTTTAAGCAATTTTGTGAGTAGTTTCCTTTATGAAAATATACCGCGATATCCCAAATATCGTGCCAACTGAATCATGAGGCGGCCTGTGTGCAGCACATTCAGTTGTAGAATATCATAAACGAGAGATTCAGTTGAGTCTCTCGTGAAAGCCAATTGATTTGCAAATGAGTGTATTTCTCGAAAAAAGTATGCCAATTATCTCCTATCCACGTGCTTTAACTAGTTTCAAAAAAGCCCTTAAAGGAAACCAACTAAGCCAATCTTGAAAGCAGGTAAAAAATTTGAATGCGTCTTTCACAAAGTGAACAAAACACCGGTTCAAATGCTGTCACTTAAACATAAAGCGAAGCTTTCAAGTGCGCGAATTAAAACGTTTACAAAAGGAGAGCACTATTGTATCATAGGGTACAGTCATTATTCTAGTATACATGCCGTAACGAATCTTTGGACTCAAAGTAGAAAAACGTGTTGGGAGTGAAAATTTCTAGCTCAGTCATACTCCAAATAAACCAAATGCGTCGCACTATAACAGTGGACTACTTGCTCACTGATTGACAAAATTTGGTGTCTGTCCAAACGGGGAACTTTGGAAGTGTTCTGAAGTATTGTGGTCAGACGTAAGCGGGTCAATCATTTGTACGACCGCTACTGAGGACGGTCCAGTTCATATTCCGTTAAGGTTGTCTGTTAAGGTTGGTCTATTGGTGACTGAGTGACACAGAGCTACGAGTAGCTATTGATGTACCGAATATAATGAAAGTAGCATGAATACTTAGGGAGCAGAAATGTTCGTATCTAACGGGACCATCGTCAGGAAACAAGTTTTACCAAGATAAATTTTTTTTGAAGTAGAAAAGCTTCAAATAACTGTTTGGTATAAGTTTCTCGAACCGTTTTCAGCCAATCTAGTCGCCGGCTGCTGCTGTCACCCCATCCAAGTACTGCTTGTGACAACTCCGATCATATTTCTCATCCTAAAGGAAGAAACGATCCTCAACCCATGGTCACAATCTGTTCTCAAAATAGAAGTGGATCATTGCGGGTTTTCTGACTGTAATTTTTCACTGAATTGTCATGCTTCATTGTTGGCTGCAAAAATGATCCTAGTTTGACAGTCACAGTAGTCGTTTATCGGCGATATTTCATAAATGGCTACTTTCGAGCTTGCTAAGGTTTGAAAATCCACCTTTGTACGTTCCCAAACTTGTTCCCTTTCCGTCTACGGTTTAGAGCCAGATCAAGATCCCTTTGGTGTGCACTCACTAAAATAATCACACCAAGACAGGACGACAGTTCACCGATGAAGCGTCATAGCCCCATTTTTGTAGTTCACAAATCAGCTAAAGTAAAACGTGTTCTGGAGGAGATTAGCAACCTATTTGATGATTCTCGTGAGCAACTGAAAAGCTGACACTTTAGCACATAGCTGGATTGTCACGACCAGCAAACAGAACTTGCTGTCAAAGTCACCTGGTTAGACGAAATACGCTCATTTGGAAAAAGAAACTGGTTTTTCTGTAGACTCACCTGGAACCCAACTGAATCTCTCGATTGTAGTGTTTTCAAACCAAATTTGTTTGCAAACGACTGTATTTCGCTAATTTCGTGGAATTTGGGTTCAAGGAAAACATAGGTTTGGCGAAAACTTGGGGACCGCGCCCACCTGATGATCCCCAAGAAGGGAGTAACTAGTCATTGGCCGTCGAAACATTTTCAGCAGCTTTATGAGTAATGTATAACGTCACCTAGTTTATTTGACGTAAAAATAAGTAACCGACATCGCGAATTCATGAGCAGTGATCGTTCACAATGGTCAAAAACAAATCAACTATTTAAAAAGCTGCATAGTTAGGTGTGAAAAAGCTCAACGCTGCACGAATAAGCTCAAATAAATCCTATGATTGGCGAACTGAACATATGTTAGTGCCGTCAAACCAAAGAAGTTTTCTGAGCGGGAAATGTTGATCTCTTGGAAATACGCTGCGGGAAAGTTGTGCTCCAGAATCGTCACTCCGCACAAACTGATGCTCCTCGATATACTGTACACCGATGACTGCTATCAGCTCAGTTGCTGACGATCACATGGGTTTAATAACAGTAGACTTCAACCCAGTGCGCAAAATGCCGGTCATAGTTTAGCTGTAGAAACTTCTGCAAAATTTTTTCAATCCGGGAAAAATTCGAAAAACTTCATCTTCAGCCACCAGGTAGACCGTTTTGTTTGCATTCCCACTCAAGTGCACTCATCCACAGCTGAAAATCCAAAGACAGGGTTGTGTAGGAAAATCACACATCAGGCGCTCTGCTCTTGACCAGAGTAAAATGTTTGGTTACGCCGTTACAGAGCTGTGAAAACACACGGATATAACTGAAATCCCATTAGCTCAAAACAAAATTGGAGCAATAAAAACGCCTAAATCTTTTCTATTTTTACTCCCCCGTTGAAGAAATATCATGATATCTTCCGAAGCTTCCTCCCACTTAAGAACCTTGGATTATACAGGACTCGCCTTATCCTATTGATAATACATTCGTCTCCTTCCATCATTACGTGACCATCACTTGGGGCATCGGTGTGGCTGGTCCCATGCGTTTTTCCCCCAGAAAGCCTTCTTCCGTTTGGTGAGATCTTAAGAACACATATTCTTGGACAAATGTACTTGAAATTAGAAAAACTTCCCTTGACACAACAGCACCTATAAAGTTGATGGAAACAGATATCATCTGAATTCCTGATGCGTAATAATCTTAGAATATATAAATTAACACGGGCTACCTTACACGTTATTAAAACACTACTCAAATAACGATTTTTCCATGAGTTCCCGCCGTTCATGAGAACTCGCAAACCAAAAAAGGCTGACCGTTTAAAATGTCAAACTGAGGAGAAAAATGACATGCAAAAGTAGCTAATGTCCATAAAATAATTGATGGTAACAACGCCCATCCTCCCAGGCATCCATACCCCTTTCGACTGCAACGCAGCCCTCACTGTTGGCGCGTCCTTCAACGCAGTTCAGCTCAAAATTGTATACTACATTGTATGGCGGTGTTCTTTCATGTGGTATTGTTAAGCTTCCCAGATTTTTAGGCTTAACAGAACAACTGAGAGGTGGACAATATACCCTGGATCAGTCGGAGTCAAATGGGAGACCACCAATTCCTGACAGCGAATTCCGAACGGTTAGGCAGTCTAAAACAAAAAGGACGGCAGTGGAACTGTCTTGGAAGGAACTTAATGAAAATGGACTGCTTCTTCTTAGGAATGGATTGAATTCTAGACTTACAGCTGGAAGCCAGTTTTTATGCGTCTTGCTGTGGAGAAATGAACAAGGCTGGATTTATGGTTGCAAATAGTCTTAAGCGACAGCTTTCAAGACATTTTAACCCCACACTAGCCGAGCGTCCAGGTATTATCTTCGGAAAGAGATTTGGTACTTCAGAATGACAGTACTAATGAACAAAGCCAGTTACAAACAGGAAGTTTTCCAGCATCTCAGGAGGGGCAGTTATGAGCCTATAGCGAGGGAAAGATAAACTGGGTATCAAAACGTTTCAACCCAGAAAACACTGCATACTTTTGTGTGGTTATGGTGAAGCTTCATCAGTCTGGGTAGCATTCACGGAATCCCGGAAATAACGAACGGCCGGGCTTTTCTAAAAAGTACGTAAAAGGGATTTCCAACACCAGCCGTTGTGGAATACGTCACCGGTTTGATACACAAGCCAGCAAAACCCTAAAATCGGCTTATCGTACCACTTCAACGACAGATGGAATTGAAAAACAGATGGGATTGTTCATTTTATTAACACGTAGCAACAGTTGTACTTCAGTAAGTTGGAAGCATCCATATCTATGGCATGACTGCATTATACACATGTATACCCATTAATAGCAGTATTGCAGTCCCTGAAACGTTTTTCAGCTGATGATGGCTCAGATTCACGCATCGGCTCAACTCCTCAGGAAATTACGTCACGTAGTGAATCATCCTCACACTCTATTTGTTTCACCTTCAAACCAAACCTACCCAGACAAATTGACGGAGTCATCATGTTGCGGCGATCTTATCAAATATTCTCCTGGGATAGCTTCCTCTGAATTATTTAAACGCCTACCACGCACTTGGTGGGGGTACTTAAATAGGTGCATCTGCGATCGTGCAAAGTGAACTTCGCGGAAACCTGCATACTTTCCTCAACACCCTGTCCAATGCTTCCATTCACGTGTGAACTGGAGACTAACCAACTTTCATTTGCGTTCCTAGAAAGCCAGACCGAGGTTAACAACCATCAATGTTTTGGTGCGTCTCTATACCCAAAACTGACTCAGAACAATTGCGCATGTTATCCCATCAGCACGAGATGTGCACTGGTAGAACCGTTACCCTGATAAGGTATCAAAACACGATAATATGGGGGCAGCCAAATAGCGCTGGGAGGAAATTGCTCTCTAGTTCCGTTCATTAAATACACAGTGAGATGAAATAACACCGGACTACATGAGGATATGGAAAAACTTAGGCGACCTTGAAGAACGATACGCCCAAAAAGACACGAACGATCCCATCACATCTTATTATACACATTAAATGAATGAACATTAAACAAATGACATACTAGAACGACATTTAATTTGCCCAGAAGACGCGGTAGGGGCGATTGGTCTGTCTGATTGCATAAGCAAAATACAATGCGGAGAGAGTAAAGCAAGTTAACTAGGCGAAACTAGCGAGCTACTGCACGTACGAATCGGAAAGACGCACCATTATCATTTCGGAGTACCAGTGCGTAAGCTAGAAAAGTATCTTATGTGCTAATAGAGAGCCGCATGATGAGGCCTAAATGCACCACACGAAACAAACACGATACGCAGAGAAACACTGCGCAGTAACCCTATCCATTCGTTCTCAACCCGCATGTGTCCACCAAATCTAAGGCCGACAGCTACTTGCCATCTGTGCACAACTAATAAACAGTAAACTAAATTGAACATAGAACTCCCTCGGCCTCCAAACAAACATCTAAACATTAACCTGATGAATATGCATGGCGCAAAGAATGTTGATTTATTCGGTGTTGATATAAGTTAGTGCGTTTTCTTGTCCAGTTGGTTTCAGCCATTCCTGATGAAGGTGAATTCCTTAGCACTTAGCTGAGGATTTTTAGCAATGCTCTTTTATTTCTGCTCCACTGAAGCATGTTGGAAACCTGATGCCCTTCATTAATGTTCCGGGTTGTTTCGACCGCAGATGGAAAACGTTTACGTGCCTTCCTCATGCATGCACATTCCATACGGAAATTTAGGCGCTAATCAATCTTTACGGTTTCTTCTTTTGTATAGGTTGTTGGTAAAAACGGACCGCAAACGGTTGTTTCCTAGAACACAAAAGCTAACTTAACAAATTTTAACCACGTGGTAAGAAGTTTGAAATACTCTGTTCGAAACAGACTGACTAGGATCTCCACAAGAGGATTGACAAGGTCAAGAGAAGGTCACCTTTGGAGTACTGTTAAGTGGAAGCCATCTGTTCCATTTCCAATAGTTCTAGCTTGTTTCATAATCATCATCCAGTCTACATTCAACCGAGTGGAAGTTTCAATAATTACAATTTGATCAAAGAGGCTCAACATTCAGAGGGCGACTTAGAGCATTAGGGACGCTACCGACCCCTGATTAGTGAAACGGTGCGGTGTATTTCAGCAGGCAGTGATTCACACTTTTATTGTTAGCACATTCATTATTTGTTTTAGTTTCACTATCTGTTCTAGAAAATTCCTCCCGTCCTTTCAGGTGTCATTTTATCCATGAGGTTGCTCTGGTGTCGATGTACTTTTGTCAAAAGCCTCCAAATATGCACCAAACTTCGTATCACAAGGAGCGCATTGCGAACCGTGAAGTAACAAATTCAGTTCAGTGCCATTTTCTGACGTTCCGCCTGGATCTGTCATCAGGTCAGAGTACATGTTAAATTCATACAAGTGCGGAACTTACCCCATAAAGTAAATCAAAAGCAGCGTTTGACGATGAAATGTCGATGTGGTTCCGAAAGCTTCCATCTGTACTTCTGATTGTTACCCTGAAGGTGTCTGATTGCGTAAGGGAAAACGAATGATTTTCTGCGATTAAATGGAGCATATCGGCCGTTTGAGGGTGGCCACTTTAAAGCTGCATAACTCAAGTGGGCTGGCTTATAGTTAGTTCCGCGGTCAAAAAGTACGATTTACAGTGTGGTCCCTAGACCCTCAAAGAACTAAATTTGCATTAACTAGGGACATCTCAGCGCAAACTACAAGAAGGCTATTCAGAACTGACAAGTACGCGATTTCTAATAAAAATTTATGGATGCCTACTAACTCAGCTTTAATACACGCCATCTATTTGATTAGAACGCTATCTATTGCCAGGTCCCTCAGGTGATCAGCAACCTGACAAGCATCTTAAGCACTGTATAAACGTACTGCACTACTCAAACGTTTGCTGAAAACTTTTTTAAGGCACACGACCAGTTTCGCCCTTCACGGGACTCATCAGGTAGGTGCAGTCGTCCAGTTTCCGTCAACTTTATGTTCCCTTGAACCCAAGTTCTACGGACTCAGTAAAATACACTCGTATACATTTCCAATGAGTGTACTTTGCTCCTTAAGCTTTCTTTTCTGTGGTCGATCATCTTCGAAGGCCGAGCTTTTCTTTATACGAACTGCCAACACCAGTTGTCTTGGCTCCTCAGCAGCAGGTAACCAGATATAGATAGGTTCTGTTTGAGCGTATTTTCAAAAGGTTGACTAACAAGTGAACTCAAGGCAGAAAACACAAAAAGGATATCAAGTGTAGTAGACCATAAGGAATCCGGTCAACGGCCTCAGGATCAGTGAGATAATCAGCTAAGAAGCTGGATTTCAGTCTGGAAAAGCACTTTCATGCGAACAGTTAAAAACATTCTAGCCGACCCGGAGAACTTCGCAGATTAAAAATCTAAATGACAGGATTCAGATTTGTCTGTGTGCAGGTGAGCAGGACTTTGAGGAATCTGAGAGAAACGTTTTTAGAAGAATGAAATTCAAAATAAGACCGACCCTGTTAGGCCTTTTCAAGTAGACTTGAAAAGACAAAAAGGCAACACAAGCTCACGGAATGTTTGCACTAGAGCACGAATTGACAAAATTTCAAGGTAACAAACTGAAACAGCTTCAGTCGCTGCTTTGCAAGCGGTTACCAGTGAGAAACACTCTGCCGATACTGTGTAATGTTTCCTGTTCCTGTTCTCTCTGCAGTTGCTGGTAATGATTAGCGCTGTTATGACAGCTTCATTACCACTACCAAACGGATCCCTCTGGCTTTTGGCGGCACCCAGTGATATTTCTTTTGCTTTTTTGATAGACGTCTCAAATGAGCAACGCACAAATGCTCGTGAAATCTTCTTCAGGCAGTGATTGGCCACATCTTTGTCCCAATATATCCAGATATGACAGACTGTCTGCCGACACGTAAATTATGCGATTCGCATGTGTATGCGGCAACATCGACATAATAAAATTTCTGGTTCTTTAGCCTATTTGCCTTATGGACTCTGCGTTATCCTCTGGAGCCAACATTTTAGAGCCGATACTTACAGCATTCCCTGTCCATCGTAAAACGCTTTCGTACCGCTAAATCCTTCGTGTTTTATCCAACTCAGACCGCGCGGTGATTTTTCAGTTTCCGTATTCAAACGGTTTATACACACACGCGTGTCAGTATCCCGGATAAAAAGGTTGCTTGAAAGTTTACCACAAACTGCCAACAACCAAGAACATTGCTTGTCCTGTCTTGTCTTTTTTCAGGGATGGCAGGTTAAAGATGTAAAGTAATTCTTGTGTACTTGGAGGCACATGCACCAATTGTTTAAGGTTCCTCATACGAGGGATGTAAACGGACTCACAAGAAATTTCATCTCACCCACTTGTGGGGTTAGGTTGTAGACTTAGTTTAGAATAGGAAAGAGCTAAACCAAATGAAGATGCCCCGACGTGACAGGTGTCTGACGGGAGAGAGATGGCGCGGTAAGAACCAAATTTTGGCTGAGTGAGCTTGACAGCGGTCATCCGTATGGTGCCTAAAAAGAAACGAAATTAAAACTGCACCTTCAGGTTGACCCTCATTACTGAGAGGATGGCAAGTTGTAGCTGTTGAAAGGGAATACACGCCTCCTCTCCCCTCACCTGACGGAAGTTATGTGTAGTATACCAACAAGGCAAATATGAAAGTTTGCAAACGTCCTTGATCCTTAACTGAGTTGACGACAACTCAGTTAATCGAAACACTGTCCACAATTTTACTGAAGTAAATCAAAGGGAAACACACTACTCTGTAAATTATCGTATTCTCCGCATGAGAGTGACCTGAATCACTTAAGCTGAATGCGCTACATACAGGTCCTCTCAGGTTTCAATTGTTCAATATTCGAGACTTTGCAGTAAATTTTCATGAAGCAACATACAAGACGTAAGCATACTGAAAACTGGCTGACATCCCATGACCAGTTTTGCCTTTTTTATGGAGGCTTCTCGTGTGGTTGCAGTTCTCGATTCTCCGTCGCCTTTATGTTCCACCTGAACGCCGGACTGTACACAACTGATGAACTATATACTTTTTGAGAAAAAAACGGTTTTACCGGAAGACTACACTACATCCTAACTGAAACTTTTAGAAAACATACAAGTAGTGAGCTACATCATGAAAAGTTATCGAAGGCAGCCGCAGGAAATGTTCTAAACTATCATCGAAATCTCCCTATAAGGTGGCACCATAGACTGGCCCTTTTGTCATGCCATTTTTTCGAAACCATTGGGACCGATGAAGATTGCTGTTAAGATTGGAGGGATTTCTTACCAAACTTGGTGACCGACCTTCACTCAGGTCCACCGACAACAATGGAGGTAATTGGACGTCCAGTGTAAGGAATGACAAGTCGTATTCAAGATGACGACGAAGAATATGAATGAATCTCGAATCAGCAGCTACAGTTTGTCCTGCGGATATGACACAATTTTGTTTTCTTCTGACAACTGAATGTTCATTTGTAACTAGGTTTCTTTTTTTCATCCACATTATAAACCCAAACTATGGAAACGACACTGCTGTACTGTATCTCAAGGGGAGAATGGTGCGCTGTTGTTTTTACCAGGTTTACAAATAAATCATATTTAAAAAGTGGGTTGTTTTTCTCTTGAAGTGCGCGTAAGGTCATTAGGTTTCGTTGACCGGTGTACTGATGGCTATCGTTTTGTCTTCCCATCTTTTCAAACGAAATGGTCGGTTAAAAGCATTCAATCTCTACTGTAAAGTTTGGGCTGCATATACATCAGAAATACACTAGACAACTTTTCGTCATTGCGATTCTTCTTCTGCACAGAAGATACCTTTGTCCTCACAAGTTCCCTGCAGCTCAGCAAATTATGGTCGATTGCAAACCAATTAGTTGAGGCTATAGCCATCTTAAGCAACTCGACTAATTAAATGACTAATCCACCTCATTAGAATGGGTACTGAGAAATTCTCATCAAAAAATGAAAGCGTAATCTGGGTTCTTCCTAACTTACAGTCTGATTTGCTGCCTATCCGGCCTCATTAGTTTTAACCTCATTACAGCTGCAATGCACACAGGCACTTCTTCAGTGTGAAGCTTGAATCAAACGGTATATTTGTAACGCACTACTCATAGGGTTGCTGAAAATTCTTCAACGGCCCATGACCGTTTTCGCCCTTCTTTGGGCTCAGCTGGTAGGCGCAATCCCCAAGTGAGTCTCTTGTAAAAACCAAATTTGTTTGCAAATCAGTTTACTTCGCTAATTTCGTGCAACTTGGTTTCAAGTGGAACATAATTTGACGAAAACTCGGGGATTGCGTTTACCTGATGAGCCCCAAGAAGGGCGAAACCGGTCGTGGACTGTCAAAAAATTTCCAACAACCTTATGAATAGTGGATTACGAATACACATGTATCGCGAATATCGTAACAAATGAAACACGAGGCGGCCTGGTGCAGCACACTCAGCTGCCTGGAAACATCGCAAACGAGAGATTTAGCTGGGTTCCAGATGAGTCTCTCGCAAAACCAAATTTGTTTGCAAATGAGTGTATTTCGCTTGAATCAAACTGCTTCATATGTCAAAAATGATGTGACAAGATTCAGAAGCATATCAAACACCATTCAGCTTTTAAAATACTGAACGATACTTTCGACCCAAATAGAAGAGTGAGTTTACTTGTCTGACACCGGAATTATTTCTCATGAGAATGCCGGAAAGTTTGTAAATTTAATTCCCTGACAAAAAGCAATCTTTGTCGGCTATTGGAAAGAGGTTTTACCATGGCTGTTTCGAGTTCATCATTTTGTTTTCCTTTACCTTGAACCAGATGGCTAGCGCCAGTGACTGAGAACACATCTAGGTACTGATTCAAATGCTGCAGGTGACTGTAGCCCTCACTCATGTGCCATTTACAGTCATCCTAGACATTATTCGCCTTCAGCCAACAACCTCTAACTGATAGTTTCTCGGTAGGTTGAAAAACATCGTTTCCAGTAGTTCTCATCTTCAAAGATGTAGTTTTTCACTTGCCTGTGAAGAAATGAATGAGGTTTCTCACAAATGATGATAGGATGTTTAGCCCTCTCGAAACATTTTCGGCGAAAATGAGATAGGATTTCCTTTTTTCAAAAAGATGTATCTCCTACAGATTAGTAAAAAAAATGTTCTATGCACTACTAGGATGTTGTAGCATAATATATACGTATAGGTCACAGGAGTGCATCAAAAACCGAAGGATAGTTCCTTACAGATATTCCCCACTAGGCTTTATGTTTTCTTAAAGCCATGTGCCCATTAAGGCACAAGTTCTGCTGCCTGAGATGTGTCTGTGTGTCGGGAAATATTGCGCACCCAATCAGTGGGTCAAATAGCTGCTGACTTTATGAGCTTCCGGGCCGTATTAAGGGATGTAACTTGTAACAGACGACCGTGTCTGATTTATCTTATTGGTGAGCACTCTAAGCACGCTAACAATGAATCCAGAGACATGACTGTTAAGCCGCATAATTCATTCTTCTCGTATAGGAGCTGATTGTCTAGGAGCTTCCTTCTATCAGTATTACTCACGGGTACGTTACATTCGCATCAACAGCAGGCAGGAAAAATGATTAGACAATTTAACAGGCTTTATATGCAGTTTTATCCATAAGACGCAGATACCATATACCTAAGAGCGTAAGTGGTGATGCAAGAAATTTCTGTCATCCTGAGATGGAACTATAGCGGTTGCACACTCAACCCCTTGCCAAGCAGACAACGACAAAAATACAAACCACATCAGACATAATGCTCACTGAGATGTGGACCATATCACGAATTCTTACTTGAAGGATGTACGAAGAAAGGTAAAAGAAGGCACGTTGTCCAAGTATGAAAGACGGCAATTATTTCTCTAAACACCAATGGACTTGGATGTACCAGGGAGTGAAAGTAATCCACAGTTTTGCAGTGAATTGGTCCTCCACCTAACCAAATGCGCCCCCATGGGAAAATGGGATATCTTATGACCTTAAAAAATCGTTCAGCTGTAACATCCTTTCGGTGCCTAGCAGCTATTTTCAGCAGAAGGATAACATTTCGATTGCCCAAGGTCCCCCCCCCCCTGATTTTCTCAAATCAACTGCCGATCGCCAACTGATAAGTTATAAACATCGCCTTAAATAAACAAACGTCACATAGAAATTCGTCTTTTTTGCTCCAGTACGCACATCCATAGTATTTATCCTAAAATTATCGAGGATTGGCTCTATTCGAGAACGTGCTTATCTTATCTGTGGGAAATTTAGCAAGGTTGTGATCGGTGAATGGCGAAACCTCAGACTCAAGTTTCTACTAACCCATCAAATCTCTTTAAAGGTGTGTTTTTAAGGGCGAAATTATTCTCTACCATGTCTAAATCGGCTTTCACTATCGACCTACATTGGGTTTATTCAGGGTGGTCATCCGACCAGACCACGTTACGCGTGATAGCTTTTGCCTATTACCGTGAACCAAAAAAGCTGGAAAATGAAAACGTATTTCTTTTTTGGTTTGGCTATTCGGGCTTTAAATACTGTCATCCTCCTTTGCGAGGAAGCCCAGGGAAGAGAATCGCCTCGGACAGAAACTTGCCAAAGTGAGCCATCGAATTCCACCAACTTCGCCGTCCCTCTTCAAAGGAGCTCCTTTAATGCTGATAGGTTTTTGTTGCGAAAATCACTCGAGATTGTCGATCGATGAATTCCACCCAATTTTCTGGTTAATATTAGTGAACCAGAATAAATGCGTTGTTGCTAGAAAAATTATCCTCATTTCCATTTCTCGAGAATTCGGAAACTCCCAGTATTAAATTTAGGTGATATTTCTAGCACCCTCCTTGCGGTATTCGGTAAAATTATAACACAGCAAGTTAAAACGGAACTGCCATTTTTACTGTTTTTAGTTTTTGGCAGGGCTGGTTACAGCAAGCACTTTGCAGCAACAGCTATTCACCCTTAACTTCCGATAGGCGGATTTCTACAGGATGTGTGTGGTAGGAGCCGAGATAATTCGAAAAAACAACAGATTGCACTATCATACCATTGGTCTAACCAATTAGTTGAACTTGTTTTCAAGGTTTTTCCCTCAAACTCGCAAAACGCCAACTGTTACTCCAAAGCAAAGTCCTTCGGTTTTTCAGCATGGTGAATGATACTCGATATCACCACTTGTTTGGATCTGTTGTAGATTGCAAATGCCTCCCATACGATGACCCCTTCTTTAAACTATCCAAACTTAACTATCTTTGAACTAGCTTTCAGGTTAGAATCATGTAGGAATACTGCCTCTCCAAAACTAGCGCAGTTTCTAAACAAGTTAATTGATTCCGGTATGATCAAAAAGGTTGAGACGTGAAATAGAGAGAGTGTACTCAATCTCCACCTGGATTAACGCAACACCAAATACCTTTATGTATCAGAAAAAGGCAGGGTGTACGAAGACGCGATATTATTTGCTGCGAAACAGAAACACGCGGTTGCAATCGGTTGGGAAAAAAGCGAACAACTCACTTACGTAACGTTTGTTCAATCCAGTTTTCAGCCGCATTCTGGAGCTTTCCCATGTGTCGTCTAAGTAACTGACGACAGTGAACGAGGACATCGAAGTAGCTCAGTCATCTCCAGTTCACTCATTGGTAGACTTCCTTTCTCAGTTGAACCACTTGACACCAGGTAGCCTGGAGAAGTTGCTGGAGGACACAGTTATGCTGCTTTAAAGACCTACGAAAATAGCTTTTGGTCCTCGCTTGCTGATAGACTCAGATTCACCCCCTAGAAATTATGGTTTTGTACGCAACTCTTAAGTAGAAATACCCTTGTTGTCGTTCACAGTCAGATAGGGGCCTTTTTAGGCTGATGAATGGATATGAACAAGGCAACAAGATGAAGTCCTTGACAAATACTTAAAAATCTCCCAGAAAATCTACATGCGTTTCAGCCTAAAACTGTGGATAACTTGTTAAACGTTAGAAGGAAAATGTAATTCTTGACCACTTCCAACCAGACATGCCAAGCAAATTTCAGAGATGACAAGCGTTGCCCAATATCCTGCAAGATATCAAAACCCGCTGTCATAAATACACACAGTAGCCACCATAACTAGATCGCTACCATCCAGGAGCAGAAGTTCACCTGGGTACCTTGCCAACAGAGGGATTAATAAAGGGACTCAACTGAACCAGCTGGCCGCCTGTCCATCCAGACTTGATACGTTCACCAATGTTCTCCAATGTGACATAAAGAAGACAAGTTTTCGCGAATACTAATAGATATATGTGGGTGTTGCGGGCTGAAAATAGTGGAAAATGCCGGGTTTTTTAATGGAATTTTAAGCGCTGTAGCTTACCGAACTTCTGACGGCATATTCACCTTTTACAAAGGGATTTGCGACAAATCGGTCTTCAGTGGTCATATTGTGCAACAGCTTCTGCGTACCTGTTACGAGCGTCTATCTTGTTTCCTCAAGAAAAGCGATCCGTAAAGGAGTGACAAGTTTTTCGAACCGGTTTAATAAGCTAAATTGAATACCAATTTAGTTTTAACTGAAGATTCAACGGAATCAAGGCTAAATCTTCCTTTCATGACATTCCTCAACGAAATGCACTCCGTGTTTGAGTTGGTTTGAAGTTCAAAATATTGCGGTACATTTTCTCGGAGGAAACTAATCGATTCATCCTCTGGAGCACCGGCAACCAGCGGTTACTTTTTCTATTTATTCTGACTACTCATGAGTAGCGTGATTTACGCCTTTTTATAACGCTGATTATCATCCTCGCTGCTCGTTCCCCGGGTTTTTGTTCCTAGCTTTCTAGTCAAGGTTATGTTGCCTGCCCATCTTCTCTTGCAAGTGTGTATCAACTGTACCTAATTCTCAGTGTTTACTCCAAGACCTGTCATCAAGTTTCCGTTACCTTCCGAATTTACTGACTGTTTCCTGACCCGTTAGTTCTGTACTCTGCTCGTATCCGTATATCATTTGCTGCTTACGCGCTATTACTTCCAGAAGGGTATGCTGCTACGCTG